ATATGTATATGTACGTATGTGTATATGCATATATATGCACCAATATATATTCATATTCATATACATATACTATTTATGTATGTATGTAAATGTATATATAATATGTGTATACGTGTACAAACACACACAAATATATATATATATATATATATATACATATACATATTCATATTCATATTCATATATATATATATATACATGCATATGTATATGCATATGCATTTGCATATATGTATATAATATTCATGTCTGTATACATATGTAAGTTTTATGTATATACAGTTATATCTATATATATATATATATATATATTATGTGTAAATATATGTATGTATGAATAATACATGCTGTATCTATATGTAAGTATGTATATATATAAATGTATTTAAATGTATACTATTTTTTGCTGATATAGTCAAAGGCACATGAATTTTATATATTATTAGAGTCAGAAGAACATGTGCATGCTAGACACTAAGACTCAGGGAGGCCTCTGAGACGAAGCCTATGCTATTTAACTCATTAACATACGTGTTCAATATAATTCAGTGTTGGTATGCTAATATATCCGTGTATACACGACTATCTGATACTTCCCACATAAAAATATTTTACTCTGTTCACCTGCCCCGTAGGTGAAATCGAGAGTATCTTATTGAAGAGTATCAAGGGACACTCGGGCACATACACACCCTCATCTGGCGGCACCATAGACCTGGACTACAGTACCGGTCCAGTTTCTCCAACATCAGGTGAAGTTTTGACTAGGAAGGCCCCGGAAAGACCTCCATTCGAGGCTTCAGTTGCTCCTAGTGTACCTGTAGACGAGTGTGTGACGGTCACGGCTGCTAGTGGCTCCGTAACCCAGGACAACGAAAACAGTCGTGATAACTGTGACAGTACACAAACTACATCGGATAGCGGAGACAACACACACATGAGCATCCTTGAGAGCGCGCGAGACAAGGCGAAACGGCTCAATTCGGTTGATATCATGGTGGACACAGCTGTCAAGGCCGCCGGTCTGATCGATGTAAGTATAGCCACACAGATACATCAAGTGTTCTGAAAGTCCTAATAGTTCTAATAGTGCACGTGTATATATGCGTATGTACACACAGGAAGCATTTCCACACATACCTACCAATTCGTACGTAAACCTTGAATATACTGTGGGATCTACGATCTAATCCAGGCATGCATATGTGAACCTCTATTCTTGATTCGGTACAGGCCAAATCACCCGTAGCGACACACCTCGACGCACCTTTCATTGACGGCCGACCCAGAACTCCACCACCATCACTAGCCGATGACATTCACACCCCAGTGACACAGGACCAAGCAGAGGCAGAGCCAGAGGGGCCGAAAGCAGCCGCTACACTGAGCCGGGTATGTGGGTGGATCCAGCGCTATCAAATTATGCGTGTAAAACATGCTGTGTTTAAAAACTATCAATCATGCGTGTAAAGTAGAATGTAGGTGTGTCAAGGGTATCAAATCCTGGGTGTAAAGCAAGCTGTGTTTAAAAACTATCAATCATGTGTGTAAAGTTGAATGTAGGTGTGTCAAGGCTATCAAATCATGGGTGTAAAGTAGAATGTAGGTGTGTCAAGAGTATCAAATCATGTGTGTAAAGCATGTTGTGTTTAAAAACTATCAATCATGTTTGTAAAGTTGAATGTAGGTGTGTCAAGGCTATCAAATCATGGGTGTAAAGTAGAATGTAGGTGTGTCAAGAGTATCAAATCATGTGTGTAAAGCATGTTGTGTTTAAAAACTATCAATCATGTGTGTAAAGTAGAATGCAGGTGTGACAAGGCTATCAAATCATGCGTGTAAAGCATGCTGTGTTTAAAAACTATCAAGCATGTGTGTAAAGTATAATACAGGTGTGACAAGGCTATCAAATCATGTGTGTAAAGTGTAATGTGGGTGTATCATGGGTTACTAAATCATATGTTGTCAAGGGGTATCAGTCATGTTTGTAAAGTATAATGTGGGTGTATAGAAGTCAAGGCGCTACTGTATAAGTATTTGTGCGGCCTAGTACACAACTCTATATCTCTCCGTAGAGTGTATACGAGTGAGGTATTGATAACGATACACCCACCTATACGGAAATATACTACTAGCAAAACCACACGTACACCCATACAATACACATGACTTAGTGGTACCTGTACTGACGTTTGTCTTTGCATGCTATGTCACACATCCTATTGTTCTTAACACACAGAGTATGGACGATTTAAGTGTCGGCAACGCTACGCTTGCAGATACAACAGTTACGGCGACCGCAGAAGATGAAACCGTTGGTGCCATACCCCAGGCAAACACACGGGATGAGAAGAGTGTAGAAGGATTGGCACAAAATATCAAGCATGAAGATGCGGAGGACACACATGTACAGAAGATAGGCAGCAAGAGTATGCAATGGGATGTATCACCCAAGTATGTCAAATGATGTGTGTATAAATGTATATTCCAAATACAATCATGTGTTTTATGTACGTATACTGTATATGATTTCGCATATATATATATATATATAGACATCTTATATCTTATATCTTATATCGCCAACTATATATCGATAACTCATGTGTGTACACATACTTATAATAGTATATACAAAACCCATACCAACAAGAAATATAGATAGCACACGTGTACAGAATATAGACAGCGTGAGTATTTAATGGGCTGCATCTTCCATCGATAATTCATGTGTATATACATGCTTGTCATATTCAATATTTCGTGACACACATACACATAGATACCTAGTTCTGTCGTTTTCTTTCCTGAACATGTACGTACATACATGTGTGTGTTTGCGTATGACGGCCTTTGCGCACTGATGGAGAGATGGATCGCACCGGAATCAATACCAAGTCGCCGAAAGGGCGTACAGTACAGTCTATAGCAATCCCGGATTTAGCAATTATGGGTGTGCTTCCGTCCTATGCTGAGATATAACTACTCCGTGTGCATATAATATCAAATTGCCTGGCGTTCAGAAGACCTCATTATTTACGACATACATGCATAATTTACGACACATTGACTGACATTGTTTTATAATCCTCTTCCCCTTTTCCCCTCAAAATAAAAAATTAAAACATTCAAGGCCTACCAACCTTCGGCGTGCAAATACACTACAAGCGACTGAGTATATAGAAGAATTCTTTGCGGCTAAGAAGGAAGACTTGGAGTATGAAAGCCAGGACGATTTAGGAGACGCATCTGGGTTGAACAAGCAAGATGCCGGTATGTGCAGGGAGTTGCGTATGTTGTGAAATATATATATATAGATATAGATGCATACACGTTGTTTATATGTATAAAAAAGAAAGAAAAAGGTTGTTTGTATCTTTGTATGTGTATGCATCTGGGCACTGTGTAGCTGTACGTTTATGTGTATCAGTTTGGATAGGCATGTACGTATTAGCCCTTGCATGGATTTAAGTTGAATATGTGTAGAGTTAGTATGTGTGCATTGATTGGTACAAATGTGTATCTAGAGCCCTTGCATAGATGTATGTTTGAAAATGTGTAGAGTTGGTGTGTGTGTAATGACTTGCATGGATGTATGCATGAAAATATTTAAGCCTTTTAACGAGAATCTGATTCTGCGCATGAAATATATATACATGAGAAACTATCATATTTACGTCTACGCATAAAAACCAAATAGACATGGTAAACGCATATACATTGCAAGGTAATATATATAGCAAAAAAAAATACGTAGCAATAAATTGAGAACAGACACACCTACATTACCAAGGAAAAGCATATTCAATACAATGTAATATACTTATCAAATATACATACATGAACAACTATAACACAGACACACTCATGGTACAAATAAATTCATACACGACACAACTGATGTGCATGAGAAACTAATCGCTGTCCCATACAGACGAATCGGGAGCTGAAGGTGCGCATAAGTCCAGCGAACGGCCCCGCAGTATGCGCTCGCTCATTGCGCTACGCCGCACCTTCACACTTTCACCGGAAGTAAGCGAATATGTCATTGGATAGATGTTGTGTGTGTTCCTTGGTTTTTTCATCTGTAAATATATCGCGAGCTGTACACATACTTATATATATATATGTATATCTATGTGTATGTTGTTGGGTAAAGGTCAGTGTTATATATTTACATGGTTTTGAGATGTAAAGTCCAATGTGGGTGCATCTGCCAGCATGATTGTATATACACATATATACTGATCTGTATAGGCATTGCTTGCATTCTGTGGCACAAATCATCAATTTGTAATATAGATCTGCTGTTTTCATATCCCATGTACGAAAAGTTTGAAATCGTATCTCCCAATCCGATCTAAGAATAATTGGGAGTTGTACCTATTGCATCCAATCCACTGCGAGTAAAACCCATTCCAATGTGAGAAAAAATGGAATTCGTGCTGTATATTTGAACAACCTAGATTATCCCCAGGTGAATACATACACCTATTTTCTTCATATATAAATATACCTGCGCATCGGCGCCTATCGCGGTCAACCCTGTGTCCAATTGTCTGCTGACATGTGTCTGTGAGTATATGTACACATATGCTCTTGTCAAGATGTTACTTTATCCCGGAGATCGCAACAGTTCTTACTACAGCCTAGATTCCCTGTTCATGATAAAGTTTATCCCTGCTTTTGTATAGCTATTATAATATTGGCAATATATTGTTTATTCTGGTGATCGCAAGTGGTTTTACTAAAGCCTAGGTTCTCTGTTCATGATAAAGTTTAACCCTTTCTTTTTTATAACTACTACACTATTTGGCAACATAATCGTTGGAGGCCTTACTCAACGCTTCAGTGGCCTTTGTCGAAGCTCTCAGGTGCATCTGTGCAGTTAAATATGTGCATCAATGTATCCGTATTTCAAATATGTATCAGTATCCAAATACGTATTTCATCAACAGCGGTGTAGTGAAACTGCAACATCTGTGACTTAACAAAATGTAATTAATTTGGCTGCACGCTCAGGTTGCTGAGGTAGAGGCATGCACGTGGGGTTTGCCAATGAGAGCTGTCTTCCGCATTTGTCTCGAGTTCATCAGCAGCGGTGAAGCCAAATTGTGCTATGATGATCGCGCTGCGCTGTACGCTCTCAAACGTCAGGTATATAGCTATATACGTATATGTGTGTGTATTGATGTATATATTTATTAATATCTAAGTATAATGTATTTATAAATTTTCATATTTGTTTATATATATATGTATATATATATTCAAATTCTTGCATTCATACACATAACCCTACATATGTATGTGTAGCGGTGTAGCTAATTGATTTTCATTTGTGTTAATTCTTTACGATTACTAATAGTACCGTATTATACTTTACGCTGTTCAGACAAAACGTTCAATAGGTGGAACATCCCAAATTATATATATATATATATATATATTCCCAACATAGCTAAATCAGGCGATAATACACATGAATAATCATTCAAATGCGTATATATTCTCTAAATTCTTTGCTCCTGATATACCTATATCTGACCATTTAGGGTCTCAACACGCTTGAGAAATTGGGTCATCCGAATGAAACCGGTAGAACAAATCATAAAAGATTCAAGTATATATAGATACATCCAAAAAAAAAATTCATTAATACTACTATACATATTTTTTTATCGCAACCGAATCAGGCCATTAGGGGTCCCTACACGCCTGAGAAGATGGGCGAATTGGGGTGGTTCGATTGGGTGGGACACGACATAAAGAGGCATTGGGCAGACCTCGAGGACATGGCACCGGATGTGGCCATGGCTCACTTCTGCAAGGTAACAATATACACAAGTTTGTTGTACCTAAAATTTCTCCTACATTAAGGATTCCAAACATAATAAAAAATATACTGCTTTCAGTTTAATTATGCACGTACTAGGAGTGTGTATATTATATGTGCGTTTCTGGCATGATGTTAGTTTTGTATATATATATATATATAGGCGATTTTCTTGTTGGCATCGGTTCTTTAGAACACTCTACCAACCACTATCTGCATCGGCTAATTGTTTTTGTTTATGTGTATGTGGCGTGTATGTAGCAACTGAAAAGCTCTGTTCTTGTGAGTCAGTTCCTGAAACGGCACCTGACAGGTCATGTATTCCAGGGCGGAACCCTGCATACAGAGCAGAAACGTCTGTTTTGCGAAACAAATAGAGCGGTGTTTGTATCTATTGATGGCTGCATATGTGATGGCTAATGTACATACACTTATGCCCTTTTTAATCCAGATCTTAATGTAAATAGACTTATACCCTTTTTAGTCCAGATCTTAATGCATATACACTTATACCTTTTCTAATCCAGATCATGGATTGAATTAACTCGTATTTCAATCTAAAGCAACCTGCGTGTGTGAATTCATGACTGAATTCGCCTCGCCAGCGAGTATATATCAATACATATGAATCCGAGTACATAAACAATTGATATACAAATTAAAGAGATATCCTAGTACACGCATGAAATTCTTCTCACTGGTATCATTTCAATCGTAGACGGTCGAGTCCAGTGACGACGCTTGGACCGAGCATCTGTTGAAAGAGAAGACCAAGCTAGACGAGGAGCTCAACGGCGAGTGGCAGAGGGCTAAGGACGAGATGTTGGTGGTAAGCACTAATTGTATATATGTGTACGCTAGTACGTATCTGTGATTGTATAAATATATATATATATATATATATAGTGTGTGTGTATGTGTGTGCGTGTGTGTGTGGCGCCCATGTATGTACAGGTGACTGTGCATTTGGGTTTGTTTTGGACGATGAGTATGATGTGTAGATATACGTATAAGCGCATATGGAGGACTCGCGTATGCTGTTGCCAACAACAGGCGAAGAAAGAAGCAATGACAGTCAAATTATTTACTTTTATATTTCTCTATACTTCTCAAGTTTATGGATATAGTAATCCAAACAACAGGTCTGTGCACGTATCCCACTCGATTTACGTACTTTCTCTCACGTTTGCGTACAAATTTCGACCGACAGGCAAAAGCCAAACACGATGAATTAGAATATTTGTACGCGTATCCCGCTCAATTTACGTACTTTGGACACGTTTACGTACCTATTATAACCAACAGGCAAAAGCGAAACACGAGGCGGAAGAGGCGGAGAAGGAAAGGCAACGGTTAGCCGAAGAGAAGAAACGCGAGCTGGAGGCAAAACTCAACAACTCTAAGGATCAGTTGGTTGCCATCCCCAGCCGAGAGTATGTCTGATTGGCAAAGTGGCATACATGTACATATGTGCATGTTGGTATATTGGCGTATAGACATATGCATATGTGTGCATATATGTTGAATGGAATAATGTCCTAGCCCGGTACGTTACGTTGCCATACAAAAGTTCTGTCCCAAGCACATCATAACCACAATACACACACACACACTTTCGTGTAGTAGTGTACAGTGGATAGCAATCGGTGTTACACAAAAGCAGCACGAACGTAAAACAGCCGCACACGCACCTGTATGGATACTAACACTTCCTATCACATACATACGCAGACTTCCGGACGAATACAAAACAGACACTTTGTCTCGAAGCCTGTCCCTGCCATACAACCCATCCGACTCGCGCACACCCATAGACTTTGAGGAGTGGAAGACGCAGGTCACCTCTGATCCTGACAATGTGCTGACTGTCCCCAGAGGCGAAAGCGTGGTCATCCACGTGCCTGTGGCTGTGGCTGGCATAACCACGTGGTATGTTTGTCAACCATGTATATATACATATATATATATATATATATATATAATATCTCTGTGTGTGTATGCCATGACATATGTATGTGTACCATATGTGTTTGCTAAGGTACATGTATATCAACAAATCCTTTGGATAAAAATAGCCCTCTCACGTCGTGTCTGGCCTAGACAATGTGCTGACTGGTTGATATTGGGGCCATACACGTGCTTGTGTCTGTGCAGCATCACCGCGTGGTGATCGTGTGATCCGATATTTCCTTTCAAAACTGTGGAAGTAGCTTTCAAAAGGTTTATTTTTTTTTTGATACGAAGGGGCTGTTCGTATGTGGTTTTAGTGATACGAAGGGGCTGTTCGTATGTGGTTTTAGTGATACGAAGGGGCTGTTCGTATGTGGTTTTAGGGTTGTTTATTTTTTTTTGATACGAAGGGGCTGTTCGTATGTGCGTGTGAAGACTGTTCACAAGCGGACGGGATGATTTTATCTCTGCGATGTAACGTGATGTTCACGTGTCTGTGACTTAAGCCTGCAGATTCCAAACGTCTAGTAAGCGTGTGTAGAATACTTCCATCACATTGAAAGATAGGTCTGCTCGGAAAGTAACACATCAACTGTGAGACGTTTGACATAGTTGGCCCTATGCCTCCCGCACTGTGTGGCTTTCAAATCGAGGTTATGTGGCCCATGGGTTCTATGGCAAGTTACGTAGGTGAAGACTTCACGAGATGTAGTATTGCTCTGCATCAGTTGTTATTATACGACATCAGTTATCAATAGACGACACCTATCTAATCTAGGACTCCAAAATCTGCAGGTGGGAGTATGCCACAGAGTCCTATGACATTGCCTATTCGGTCACATTTGAGGAGACTTTGGAAGGGACTGAAGGGACACAAGTACATCACATCCTGCCCGCGTTCAGGCACGAGCCGATAGAGGGACGTAGAGTGACAAAGGGCTCACACACCGCCGAGAAGCCTGTATGTACTCCTGTGATACTTCTCGTGCGTTCGCATATACCCTGATGTATCTTTTGATGGGCCTGTTTGTAGATGTATGTCTCACAAGCTGCAGCTCTATGTAGGTGGCCATGTTGTGCCTTCTGCACTCATACATAGGTCCGTATATGCATAGTGCGTGTGCGATGGCCTATACCCATGTACTTATCTATTTGTGTACTGGTGTGTACCTTCCACATGGTTATAGGCACAGTGACATATGTCACATACCGTTGAAAAGTCTGTAGATTGACTATCAATGTTTGGGGCTGTTCATGAATATATCTACAAATATCATTCAGAACCACCCTTTGGCCCAGATTCCCAGAAGACCTTGATTGTGTTTCTGTGCATAACTGTATTCCTCTTGGCTTTGTCTGAATAGATTTATCGCATGGTGAACTCAAATCTCCGGAAGACCAAGATATATAATATATATGTTCATATTGTATCTCGCTAGCTGCGTGCAGCTGATTGGCCCTATTATAATATTGTCCCCTATGTAGCTGCGTGCAGCTGATTGACCCTATGTTATGCTATTCATAATAATGCCACCACAGGTGTTGCGGATCAGCACACATACACACACGCGGCCCCATACACACACTGCCGCGCACTATTTTGTATTCTAATCGCTTCACACTCGTTTCAAACCACACAGGGCACATACTTGCTCAAATTTGATAATAGCTACTCCGTCTGGAGGACTAAGACCATATACTACCGCCTATACGCAACGTGAAGCTTTCCCGTGTGGGTTCGTAGAAGTCTACGGAACTATTTAAACGAGATGGTTTGTATAGAGAAATGGCGAACTAACAGTGGCAAGGATTATAGCGAAGGATTTTCGTAGTGCGTGTTTTCCAGAGTCGTGTCGGTACATGGGTAGGTATGATCACTCATACTCGGATAAAATGCTGGTATCATAAATAGCATGCCTTTCTGGATATGCACCGATAAAGCTAGCAGTTGCAGGTCGCAGCTAGAATAGTCATTGCCTGGCTCATCAGATCACCGAGAGATATTACCAAAGCATTTGTCACTTCCATCTAGCGTCTGTGGAGTGGAGAAAAGCCACCTTACACGTGTGCTCCGGAATTCTGAGGGTTTAATTTAAACATTGTAAATACGAAATACAGTTGTGCAGCCACAAAAATAAACGCCAGTCAAGAACCAAAACAGTGCACACGCGTCTACTGCTATGAGCACTGTGCAGTGTTGTAGAACTCATTGCATATCTGAATATAACTGAACATGTCTAGTCTTCACCTTTCCGAGGGCGCCTGTGTTTTAGTGAAACTTAGCACCCGTTCACACTCTACCGATCTATATAGCATAGGGCTGGGGAATTGCGGTGATAAATAATACTGATATTGATCAGTGAGAGGTTATATGTGCTATACGAATGTGGCTTTACAAGATTGGCTCTCGTGAGTCAAAACTCCTATAAATGAACTAAAAATAATAAAATTTAAATACAATGTGAATAATGCAGGAGATTTTTCAACATATTCGAGCACTTTCATCGTGAGTGCATATCAAATTATATATCAACAATAAATGTGGTAAGTGATGCATGGTTTACTATCGCTATTGTGTGCATGACTGATATATACTATTATACACATTTTCTACAAATTAGATATATGTATATATATGTATATA